GGCACGTGGGATCTTCCCGGACCGGGGCACGAACCCGTGTCCCCTGCATCGGCAGGCGGACTCTCAACCACTTGCGCCACCAGGGAAGCCCTGAAACATTTACTTTTGAGTGCCATATTAACAGGTAATTAACTATTAAAAATCACGAGGGCCACATAACATTAAGATGTGCTATGCTAGGGTTTTTTTGTTTTGTTTTGTTTAAAGAAAAAAAAACAGCACTTCTATTTGGAATTGCTTCTTCACATCGCAGGTGGAGAGACGTGATGAGGAAACCAAGCTATACAGATCTGCAAGCTACTTTGGAGGTCTAAAAGAATAAAAGTTTGGCATGCAAAACATATTCAGCAACTTTAATTTTTGGTCTAATTGCAACAGTTAATTGGAAAATATTTTCCGGATAGGACTGAAGGCACCAACTTGACACTAACTGGATATGAAAAATGCAGTTTTACTTAGAATTAAATCTTAAACAGCCAACATACTTTTTTAAACATAAAAAACTGAGCTAAATTAAAAATAGTGGTATGGTTATCCACCCTTTCCAGGTACGCATTTTAAAGACCTCTGTTCTACAAAGAATCAATGAATCAGAACCTTAATTGGCTTTAAATAACTTTAAGCTTTTAAATAAGACATTTTCTAACTGGACATTTTAGAGGTGTGCAAACTGTAAAAACAATAGTGTAGGTCTCCCAGAAAATATTTAGTTGAGGGACAATGAGAGGAGGGGCACTAAGTTTTAAAAGCCACACATTTTCTGAAACTTCAAGTAAGGAGAAAATTCCTGTTGTCCAGTGAAAGGCAAAGGGAATCAGGCAATGAGGAATAAGAACAATGTTGCCAAGTGTTACAAAGAACTGAGAAAAACAATTAATGCCGATCAATTACAACTCCTGTCATCCATAAGATGGGACTAAAGTCTTAAACCTCCTGTCTCAAAAGAGTATAGACACAGTGGAATATTATACAGCCATTTAAATGATTCCTCTTCCAATCTATTTTCATTTTCACAGTAAATTAAGATGTTCAAAAAAATAAATAGATGAAAAAATGATGAAACAATATACATGGCATAATTTCACATTTATTTCAAAATAAAACATATACATAAATGTAAGTAGAAAAACGTTTGAAAGGACACACACCAAAATGTGAATGACAGTAGTAATAGTTAGTGACAGGATTGTAAGTGACTTTTATTTTCTCTGGTATACTTTTCTATACTGTCTAAATGTCTTCTGGTGAACACTATCCATTTCAAATAAGAAAAATAATAAAGCTATTTCCATTCTGGAAAAAATATCAGTGGGATTTATAAGTAATATTCAAATCACTTGGGAAACAGGATTCATTTTATCATAAACCCACCAGGGTCCCCTGAACTGTAAAAAGACAAAACACTTTAAAATGTATTCTAGAAATATGCTGTGGACTCTTGCGAAGGATGAAAGCACACTTTGCTTTGTGAGGTATTTATGAAAATTTCTCTGAAAACTAAACTTTTTAAGAGAAATTTATACTTGAGTTTGCTACTTAAATATTACTTCGAGTCCCTCTGGGTAAAAGAATGTCTATTCCCTGATTTATCTTGTGAAAAATTAGGGAATAGACATTCTTTTACCCAAAGGTAATACTTTACTTTTATTTATTCCTGAGAAAGAAATCCATCATGCTTTGATTTAGGTAACTAAGTGATCTGGGATTCCAATTACTGCAAATTAAACACTGTCATTCACGTAGCCAGTGGCGACCTCGGCGTCCTGCATCCTCACTGCAGGTGAAATGTGCCAAGAATTCGAAAGATGGACCCGTCGGCCTTTAAGTAATGACCACCAACAGCCGCTGCAGACAGGGAGTTTTATTTTTTCCATTCAAGCTTTATCAAATGGACTGTTCAAAAAGCATATACAAGAGCAAAAAATATCACATGCAAAAATCAAACGTGTTTTGTCTTACAGTCACTGGTTTTCTTTTGGAAAATAATCCACATTTGAGTAACTATAATTCAAACATTTCCCAATTGTTTCCACTTCATTTCCTTCTCTAAAGTGAGCAATGGTAGATACGTTTTAAGTAGCTGATCATCATCTTTCTCATCTTTATTCTACTGAAATAATATAAAGCTTTACCAAATGAAACCATATACTGCCCAGAAATCTGAAGATTCATTTACATAATAAATTCCAAAACATAAGAAATCATATACAACTGATATTTTGCAAAATGGATAAAAATTAGAATAAGCTATCTGAAAGCAAACATAAACAGTAATAATTTCTTATCTAAATAATTTTAATCAAATGAATAATACATTTATCTGGTAATAGCCTCTATCTTTCAGAATGTAAAGAAAGTGCTCAGATTACATCAAAAAAAAAAAATAAGATAACAAAAATCTCACAGAACTGAAATAATTTAAATAAAGATGACAGCATGGGGAATCTCTATTACATTTTTGCTCCCAAGACAGGGAGGCAGGTATAAATTTACCTGAAATCAGAAAGGGACTACAGTACTAAGACTGTAAATGCAAAGCTTCCAGCCTTGAAAAGATATAAACTATCTTTGAAAGGTTCTCATGCATCCTTCTTTAGATGAAAGCCATTAATGTAAAATCAGATTTCTCAGCTAGACTGCTTGTCACCTGACCGAGCCAAGTCACTTTCCTTGACTGTCCCTTTTCTAGCCCACTATCAACATTCACTCAGCAGGGCTCAAAAGAACAAATAACAGTCTTTTGAAGACACTTTGTTCATTAGGATCAACACACTGTCTACTCTCAGAAAAACAACACACGAAAATAGCAACCGAGTGGAAGAATCTTCGTCCTCACCTCTCTCTGGAGCTTCAATGGAGCCAACCTAGAAAGCCACGCACAGGGAGAGCACCACGGTTCCAGACAGGGGGCTTAATCCTTTTCCTCTGAAGGAATCCTAAACTGAACTCTGCAGGAAAACACGAGAGTTGTGGTAAGAAGTAAGATTCAAGCTTTCTCTTCATCTGATACTTGAGTTGTGATCTCAATGAATTCCATTCTACACACTAAGACGAAAGTTGGTGTAACGCACCTGATGACATCAACCTGGACATTCCAATGCCAAGGGTACCAGGTATGGATCTACCCTACTTATTTTAATAATACTGAGATTACTCACAACGCTTCTGAAGTCCTATTTTGAAATTTCTTTCAACTCAATAGAATTTCAGGTCATTCTTACTGTCTTATTTATGCTTTTCTTAATGTTTAGCTGCTTAAAGTACCATTCTCATAAATCATTAAAAAATTAAGCTATCTTCACTTTAGAGGGAAATTTTTTTTTATATGTTCTACAGATTCTGAAGGCAGCTCTAAATAAGAGTCTATCAAATGCTCTTGGGAGACTATTTTGAAGGACAAAATTCCAGAGAATGCGAAATCCATGCCATCACTACTCTATCCCCAGCTAGCTAAGTACCTGCTCATGGTAGGTGCTACACACATACACACACTCTCTCTCTCTGAATGAATAAATACAATTTATTTGGATGTTGAACTTCTAGACATCTGATTTTTAAAACCATTCTTTTATGATCCTTCCTTTTATTCTAGCTAGCTGAAATTATTTTCTAATGTTTTATACCTAAACTCAGTGAATTTAAAAGTTTAAAAATCGGTAGTGGGATTCAAGCCACTAAGTTTTATAACACGTTTTTTTAAACGATAAAGCAACAGAAAATGAAAAAATGGGCAAAATGAGAAATGAAAAGGACTCAGTGGCCAAGCAGGTGGCAGCAGGTGGTGGTCAGCTGAGAAAGAGCACAGGAGAGTAAGCCTCCTCTGTCCCTCCCCACCTCCAGCACAGCTCGACTCGCCTGTCCCCCTCCCACCTCCTGGCACAGTGCCTGCCACCTTGAAGGTGGGGGACAAGGGACATCTGCTGAATGAGTGAAGGACCAGCTAAGAGAAGGGAGAGGGAAAGAAGGACCCGCCTCTGCAGCAGACTAGTAAGTGTGGTGTCTCCTCTCCGGCCCCCAAATCAAAGGGCAAGAACCGGGTGGTTTCGCTTCCTGCCCTGGAACAGAGGTCAAGATGATTCCTACCTCACTTAAATGCAATGCGTGGCACAGCTATAAAAGTAGTCAGATAGAAACTAATTTTTAATCAATAACCAAAAACAAGTGTCCTGAGTTCTAAGGAAATAAAAATTAGTCTATATTTACCTTTGATGGGGCTTAGGTCAAGGCAGGAGCCAACAACTTTCTAAAAAAAAACCGCACTTCTTAGATTTGAGAAATAACGCAAAGTATCCCTGTTTCGACAGTATAATATATAGCTACAGTAATCACATATTTTATTGTCCAAACTGGGATATTTTGGAGAGTAAAAGGGAGCACAAGTAATAATTATTCTAGGAAAAATAACTGTGCCAAGACAGCAGACACGAATAGGACTGTCCTGGGTAAAGAGACATCCGGCATTAACACAACAAACATCCTTTTTTGGAAGTTTGTACTATTTCCTTTTTTTCAAGTTTTCTATTAAACTACATAATATAACATTCGGCAGTAATGCAATATTGAACACTGAGTAACAGCTCAGTTTTGTTGCCTTGAGAAGACATTTTCTAAGTGATGACACAGAATTCCCACTTCTTCCCCACACCTAAGGCCTTGCAGCATAAACTAATGTTTTAAATGGCTCTGAGGAAACAGTTCGTTTTAATATTAACAAGAGAAGTTTACCGTCTCTTGTTCATAAAACAGACTTCCGAAATGATAAACCCCAATTATGAGTCTCGGTCATAACATATTTTTAAAATCTTTATATTAACCATGAGATTCTCACAAATACGCTGCCACAAAATATTTTAGAAAAGCTATATAGCCATCAAAATTAAAAAGTCTAATCTGTGGATGGTTACAGAGTTTCCCCCGGGTAATGAACTTGCACTGCGTCATCACACGTCAGCAGCAGAACGCTGGCAGGAGTGCCCGGGCAGAGAGGCGACTGAGCTGACTCAGTTTCTGAAGAGCAGCATCCGCTCGGAGCAGGTCTGCCCCACCAGGCTCGCGTACTGCAGCACCGTGGCCTCCTCGCTCGGGTCTCTCTGCTGCTTCTTATACACACCGTAAGGCATTATGGCCTTCTTGTAAAACACCTGCAGGCGGTCAGGTTCCTTACTGCGATCTTCATCCACTGCATTAACAAAAAATATGGATTAAAAACAGCACCTGTCAAACCACTTTCCATTTCCTAATTTAAGAATGGTTAACTGAAGTATAAAAATTATGTATTATGTACTGATGTCTTCTCTGAGCAGTATGTTCAAATGACGCTCTGCAGTATTAAAACTAACTTGAGTATGTTAATAAATAACAAATGCCTTTTTGTTGAAAGACAGTAAATTCCCTCCACAAGGAGAGCTGAAACATCAGGGAGAGAGACAAGGAATCGTATGCAAATTTTCAAATGGCCTTCAATGTCCTTATTATTTTCTCATACATGATGAAGTTTACAGGTCTCCAGCATCTTTCCTGAGTCTGATTTAAATTTATTTTGCCTCTCCCAGAGCCAGCATTCACTGTGTGAAGTTTCCATCCCTGCAGTGAGGCTTTCTGTTGACTCAGCAGTCTGGGCTGACTTGAACTGGCCAGGTTGGGGCGATGGGCACTCGTGCTGTGCAGGCAGGAGGGCAGATGCTTGCAGCTTTCATGGAGACGGCCACTATCGGTTCTACTTTCTTCCATATAGAAGAACTCCTGGTTTTTTAGCAGGGCATACTGTTTCCCAGCCTTCCTCGCAGCCGGGTGTGGTCCTGTGACCAAGTTCTGGCCAACAGGATACAAGTAAAGGGTTTTGTAGGACAGCTGGCCCAGGGTCTTTGCCTCCTTCCTTTTTTAGCCCTTCCTTCATTCTGCTGCTTAGAGCCTAAATATCACAGTAGGAGCTCTGACCTCTGTCTTGCAGCTTTCTCTCGGTTCAGCTAATACAAAAGCTACAAGGAACCTTGGTACCTGAGAACTTCGTTGTACAAAA